GATTGCATTCTCTCCCCATATTTTGAGGGCCAACAATCAAAGACATCGAAAAGAAGGTACGTTCGTTTTCAGAGAAAATATGTTTTTATGCCTGATTCCGTTATTTAAAATATCCTCCTCCCAAATAAAGCATATTAATAGTTAGGCTTAATTAAGATAAGAGCCGCAAACTCTTAAGATTGAATTTTTGTACGTGAAAATCCAATGATTACATTAAAAGTTATTCAAGGTATTTTTATTTTACCGACTGTACACTAATGCTTTTTTGATGAAATCAAAACCATTTACACCACATGATTTCAAAAACGTTTAAAAAGTTTACAAAGCGTATGAGCGTTGTGAGTGTTTGAATTATTTAAATTATTTTTGAGTAGTGAAAGGCAATCTAATTTTTTTTAAATTCAAAAGCTGAATATATTTATACACAAATTTTTCAAGCTGTGGAAAAAATGTTTTTCACAAAGTGGAACAAGTTTGGCATCTATGGTAATTGTTTAAGGGTTTAATTAGTTAAGAGCAGGATTTAATTTTAGAAAGTCATTAGTCGTTGAATGAACGCCAGTTAGCACCCACCTCCCGCTGCACGTCATTGCATGCAATCTGTTAGTTTGTTGGATGTGGTTTAAACTAGAGTGCCTGTATTGAGGCACTCTAAGCACTGTCTAGGCACTCTAGTTTAAACAAGATTCTCACGGGTTTCACTGCTTTCAAAAAGAGAAATGTTGATATTTTAATACATTTGTGATCATCACTACGTTAAAGAAGATTGCATATAAATATCTATACATTTCACATGGGAGAATTTAAAGTAAGTGTAAAGTTGTGCTAAAGATGGATGTCAGAACAAAAGGCGATACTTTTCAGTCGCAGAAAGTGATTGCATCATTCTTTTACGCGTCACGCGTATTGTAAATCTTCTATTACTTCTAATTATATTTTTCTGCAACGGCAGCAGTAATGCATTCATTAAAGATCACGCTAATGAACCTGCAAGGTAAAGGTCGGGATAAGGATTGAGATTGAACAGCAACTAATGACCGAAAATGCCACACGTAATTCACTGGGGGACGTCACTCTATTATGGACTGGCTCTAGTGTGTACTGCTAGAAACATTGGTGCCCAATTGGTATTAATGCAATTTTTTTGTTAATTTAACGTCTTTTAATGATTAATGTCGAAACCGGCATTCAATTAGATCCTGAAATGGCTAGCTAATTCTTTCGTATCCTTTGTTTATTATATGTTTATATTAACTATTATAATAAGGCCCGGTATAGCCTGGTCGGTAGGGCGCTGGGCCCATGTCCGAGAGTTCAAACCCCGCCGGCCGAAGACTCCCCGTATAGTAAATGGTGACTGATGCACGTTAAATCTGTCGAGTAGCAAAGTCCTCCTTATCCCCATAACAAATCAATACCTCTGGGATTACTGGATTGAAGATTGATCGTTCTCTGATTCAGGTCAAAACTACGATCTGTGGATGAATGAATGAATGGGTCAGCCCTATAAACGGGTGTGACGTATGGGTGTGGAAGAAGTCGAATTCTTGGCCATAGATCGCACCCCTCTGCCTTAACAGACATACGAGAGAAAGAGAGAGAGAGAGAAGTATTATAATAAAATATTGTTATTATGAACTCAAACCGACTCTTAAATAATAGGATGCACAGATTCTAAAATTATGTATGAAATTAAAATAATTTGAACATTTGAATTTTTTAAAGATAAATAGGTATGAAATTAATTAATATAATATAATATAATAAATTTCTGTTACTGTATTAAATCAAATTTATTTAAATTAAAGTTGCTTAAATTCTATTCTTATTATACTTCTCATCTCGAAATAAGTGTATTAGTCATTTTTAGATTCTTCCATTTTGTTTAGTTTCTACCTGACAAAAAGCCAACTCTGCTGGAATTTACGAACATTTCATCGTAAATCCACATAGTTTTAAAGTTATTTTTACAGATATTTATATGACTTACTGAAATTACGATATTGTTAATAAGATATTATTATGGCAAGTGAATCTCGAATCGTGCATATGAATAATGTAACTTTTAAAATTACGCTTTAAATTTGCGACGAATTCAAATGAGAATTCACGTGCGAATTTATGAATTCACATTGTTTTTTGAGTCACTTTTTCGGCAATTATGCCAATGGATTTCTAAGTAATTTTAAAAATCCTAATATTTTTAAAGTTTAACTATTACGGGAATTACAATAATTGAATATCTAATCGCGATATTGCTGTTAATTTACGTCGCACTAGAGCTGCACAATGGGCTATTGGCGACGGTCGGGGAAACATCCCGGAGGATGATCCGAAGACATGCCATCACAATTTTGATCCTCTGCGGACGGGATGGCACCCCCGCTTCGGTAGCCCGACGACCTGCGCGCGAAGTCGAGCACTTTACGGTAGCACAGTTTAACGAGGACCAATACCGCACGCCCTCGGTCCCTACGCAGACTGATCCAAGTGGTCACCCACCCGCACACTGACCGTAGCCAGTGATGCTTGACTTCGGTGATCTGCTGGGATCGCGATATTGAATAAACACTTTTCGAGTTTCGACTACGATAGTTCGCTTTTGCATTGATTTCAGTTAAATCCATGTGGTTTTCGATCGCAGTTCCGCAGTTATTGCTATAAATTTCTACTTAATTTTCCTTAAATTCCTATTTTTTTAAGGGCGATATTATTGCAAATCGCGGAATCAGAAATTTGAGGAATCGACAGCACGAAGAAAAGGTACAAAACTATTTTTTTTTTCCTCCGATGATTGTTGAAAAAACGGACGAGACCGGAAAAAAAATATCATTCGAGCTTTATTCTTAGATCGATGCTTTTTTTCTTCTAACAGAAACATTCAAATATGATAAAAAATGCCAGATCGTCACTTAAAAGCTAAAAATATAGTCGTCTTTCAAAATCTTTGGTCGCCTATGGTGATCAGGTGATCTTTTTTCACCAGCCCTGATCATAAGAATACATTTCAAACTAATAATACTTCATTGAAAGTTGTCCACAGTAATACACAACACGTGCGTGATCCTTATTGAAAAACAAGGTAAATTAAACAATCTCAAAATTAATTTCAGTACTTTTATGATAAATACTTTTTGGAATCACAAAATAAATTTTGTTACCTTCATACCTTATGCTAGGGTAAATTTGCTTCAAATTCATTTAGGATAAATTCTCAAAATATTTCACCTTTAAAATGGATTTTTTCGCAGTATTTTTACTTTAAAAATGGGCTCTTCCCACGATAACCTCTTCAATCCGAAATTTAAAACCTAAAATTTTTAAAAAATATGGTTTTCGAAATTTTTTCCCAGAAATTTTTATTTTTATTTTTACGTGTTTAGAACGTTAAGATCCCGGTATTAAGAACCCCATTTTGCGTTAATTAAAATGCGTAAATTTTTAGCAACTTCATTAAAAAACAGGACTATTCGTAAAGAAACGTTTGAACAGACCATGGTTTTTGTGATATTTCTTTACTTCACAAAACTTTAAAAATTCATAAAATTATAAGTAAATTTCTCACAATTTCATGAAACGGGACTGTTACAAAAAGTTTTGTCCTGAGTATGTAAAAGGTTTTGTGACGTAACATCCTTTACACTTTTAATTTTATCTTTGAAATTAAAAACGCATCTCACTTGAAGTGTTACTCAATTTTGAAATTTAGTGAAAAATAAATGCATGAGAAAAACATTTTTGAAGTTTTCTGTGATGAGCTTCGCAAAAATTCAAAAATTGGATACTTGGAAATTTTTCCTGCTCATAAGCTTAAGTTTACATAATTTTAAGATGTTTACACACTTTATTTTTTTTTAAAAAAAAAGACGAAAAAAAATTATTTTCCTAATCTCAGAATGATGGTCTAACTATATCTTTTGTAAAAAAAAAAATAAATAAAAAAAACAACATCATTCTAAAAATTTGGTTATTTGTTTAAAGGGGTGGGAAAAATCCTATTATCACATTACCTATGTTAGGTACTTATACTATTATAATAGGTACCTATTACCAGAACGGTAATTATTTATTAAACTTTACTGGTTTGAAAAGAATTTCGCGATTTTTTTTCTCTCGATTGCCTCTAACAGATGTGTACCAAGAAATGTTATCTAAAAAAGTGTGATAGTTGTAAAAGCTTTTTGCAGGATACCAAACTAATATTTTAGAATAAATATAAACATAACTTTTGAAAATATTTTCCTATAAAATGAATGAAGTATAATTGAAAATATAAAATTTGAAAATATAAAAAGAATAGAAGGAAAAAATTAAGCTAATGTTTTCTAAGCTTAAAAATTGAGCACTTTTTAAACACAAATTTTTATAAATCCAATGTGGATAGAATGTTCTCACAACGATATCATGTTCTTCTCTACTTTTCCCTCCTGATATTTTCCATAAGATTTATGAAGTTTGAAATATTCTGACTTATTTAATCCCGTTTATAACAATAATTACGCCTATAAAAATATTTGTAAGATACTAATATTTAACATCATAAGAATAAAATGGTAAAAATAAAGTTATTTGATTGCAATAAAAAGTATAATCGAAAGAAATTGAAAAAAATAGTTGATATTAATTTGGAAATTAACAAACAGTTTTTAAGTATAAGGTAAATTGGGGGTATTAGATAAAACAATATAATATTAATTCTCAAAATTGAGTTGAAATTGACTGAAATGTGATTGCATGATATGATGGTAACAAAAAATTATTTTTATCAAAAAGCGCTTGAAAAATAATTTAAAAGTTCCTGTAAAAGTAATCCAAGGTCATGATATGTGACATTTAACCAAAGGCAATTTAAATCGAAACCCAAACTAAACTTACGGTTACAAACTGTGAGATGCTGTAGTCATTCAAATTATTTTCATTTTTTCAACAACTATAGAAAGCAATCATAATGCTTTCATTACTTTTAAAAGAGAAGAAAAATTAACTAAAATTACTTCTATTTAGAAAATAAGGCATGGCAACACTTTCAAAATGTCATTCTGAGGTCATGTTTTGCATTTTATCGTCTGCTAAATGTTTTGACAGATTCAAACAAATCTCCAATTGTCATTTTAGGCATATGTAAGGAAAGGCGTAAATTAAATGTCTGTTTTAACTTCTCGACCTTCAGATATATTTGCTACTAGCAATAGAAGAAAGCAATGGCAGACAGAAATGCACAAACAGCAGAGTTTTTCTTTGGATCTTCCACAAAATATCTATGACAATAACAAACTCTCGCGTGCTTTAGACAGTCTATGTTTCGAACAGCCCTTAAGATGTCGGGATGAAGATCGAGTATTTTTATATTTACCGAGAAATCTTTCATATTGTGAAGTATGTTCAGATGTTATTCGTGATCACGTTCAAAAAAAGGTACGATTATTAAGTAATCGGCTGTGCCAGTATGATGATGTACCTCCTACACCGGTTGAAAATCGACCCATCTTTAGTGAGTATTCTAAATCGATCATTCAATCTTTCAAAAAAATTCATTATATAAAGCTAATTTTTTAATTCATAATTTTCTGTGGGTTCATTGAGTGATTGAATACCTTAATACTTCCAAAATTTTGTAACTGCAGTTTTCGAATTTTCTTTGTGAAAAGCCGATGCAAATTATTACAAATAATATTCTTAAGAATTTGCATGTTATATTTTGAAAATCGTAAATATTTTAAAAGTGTTATTTGTGAAAAGAAATTATGATTTTTCTCTGTTTCTATGGCTATATAACTCTAAAATATGTAAACAAGAATTGTTCTTGTTTTTCAGTAACAAAAACAAGACTAGAATTTACCAAGAAAGTCTCATGAGTCTCATTTAATATTCAGAATAAAAATTTAAATTAAAGGGAAATTATTCATAATGGTTATGTGTTTTACAAGGTCTCTTAAAATGTTTGGGGTTTAATTCTCATTAATTTTCCTAGAAAACAAAGATATTATAACTTCTTTGTAAAATATATCACAAGAAGTTATTCTAGTGATACAAATAAAAGAGTTATCTTTGATTGAAGAGTTATCTTAAAATCCGGTGATAATTGACCAAATCTAAAAATTCTCTTAATTTTCAACCCTAGTATATTTACTAATAACAATATAAATAGAAACTATCCAAAATCAGTTTGAAGATGTAGCATAAAAACAATATAACAAAACCTGAATCAAATCTGAGAAAGTGCTAAGCAGCACAAGCCTCAAACAAATACGATTTTACTAAACGGTTATTCACAGAAAAGCTCCCACATGAATGCATGCACAGTGTTCCATGAAGAAGTCCTTATTGCATATATATTTCTTTTATTCTATTTCAATTTAAATATAATTTCTCCAATTTTTTATTTGGACATAATTTACTAATTTCTCTTTTAATAATGAAACAAATCTAAAACAAATAAGATTTTACTGAACGGTTATTCACAGAAATGCTCGCACATGAATGCATGCACAGTGTTCCATGAAGAAGTCCTATATTGCGTATATATTTCTTTTATTCTATTTCAATTTAAATATAATTTCTCTAATTTTTTTTATCTGGGTATAATTTACTAATTTATCTTTTAATTACATTTAATAGGTGTTGGAGAAGAAGAATCCGAAGAAAGCCAAAAGGAAAACTCTTGCTCTACATGTCTTTCCCCTTCCTCAGAAGAGGAGATCAAAAACTCTCTCAATCATTTTATGAAAAAGCCTATCCTAAAAAAAGGCAAAAGAGCTATTTCATTCCCTGCTCCACGTAGGGAGGGTAAGAAAGTCGTGAGATTCGCCGATGCACTGGGACTAGAGCTCGAATCAATAAGATTTCTAGTTCAGAAAGATTTGCCAAAAATAGTACCATCTGGGACGCAATTCGACAAAAAAACAAAATTGCTTTCAGGGATGAGAAAAATCCAGCTTGTCCCAGCCTTTCTTCCACCATCTCTTAGCGTATCATTTATGGGACGATTACAGAAACTGAAAGTTTCGCTGCACAGTGTCAGTACTGCCGACAGCACTGTCTATGGTATTATAAGTGTGATTAATATGACGTTCCACAAAACCGTATATGTCAGGTATACAGCCAATGATTGGTTGAGCCATCACGATGAGCTTGCAGCATATCTGGAGGGATCTAGTGCAGAAGATACTGACAAATTTTCTTTCACTTTATTTTGTAATCCCTCTGATTTAAACACTTTGGGACACTCTCTCTTTTTCGCTGTTTGCTATGAAACGGCTGAAGGTGAAACATATTGGGACAATAATGATGGTAAAAACTATTGTATCAAATGTGAAGCTAGAGAAATCCCAAAGGTTGGCAGTCACAGCTGGGTTCATTTTCTTTAAATCAAATCTAATGGAGATTTTGAACAATCAATTGTATACTAGTAGAATTTTATATTTAACATCTATCTTATAGATTAGTTCGATAATTTTTGCTTCATGTTTTATTTTTCAATTAATATTTAAGTATAGGAAACATTGAGTTCATATTCCATATGAGAAATAATTTTGTAATTAATTGAAAAACTTAAGAATTTTTGAAAAAAAAATGTAAAATTTTTCGGTAAAAATTTTAAGTCTTTTTTTAATATAACTTTGTTTTATTTTGTCTAGTTTTCAAATTTCAATTGATAAAGAAACTAAACAACAAGACTTTGATTGTTTTTGGAGTGGAGGAAGGTTCCATGTGCATTTAGTAACAGACGACAAATTAACTTGTAATTAACCTGTCTTTGGGTTGCAAATTAAAATGCAACGAGTAAATGTCAAGTATTAAGAGTTTCAATAAATATTATGGATCTATAAATCTTTATAGAAACTTGCAGATATATAAGAATAATGGTATAGTAATAATCTTCATGTTCAATTCTCAACATGTACACTTTAAAGCTAACTCAATCAAAATCATTAAAATGTTTCTTCATCCACTTAGCTCCAATTAGGTTTTGCATTTAACATATTTTATAAAACTATGACTGTAAATTATTTTTGTCATCACAAAAAATGTTTGAGTAGGACTTGTTTTTTTTTTTAAATATCAATTTGAAGTAAAAAAAAAAAAAAGAACAAATATTTGAGCAAGTGTATCCGTGAATTCATTTTTTATTTTTAAAGTCCGAAACTAGAGTAGATATGAAAATTTTGAATACATAGATCCCTAGAACCACAGCATGTTCTTAAATATCTAGAACAGTGATTCTCAACCACTGTGCCGCGGCACTTTTGTGTGCCGCCAAACCGCGGCACTTTTGTGTGCCGCCAAATTCTTAAAATGTGCCGCCAAATATTAGAATCGATACATTAAAAATTATAATGCTTTTTTTTTATTACGAGTAAAGTTTAAATTTAAGAAAAGTGTATATATAATACTATTATATATATACTTTTTTATGATTTTTCCACGCCTTAACTACGTGTACATCTTTGTCGGCGACTGTCTTGTCTCTGACAATCTTAAAATAAGAAGGAAGAGTTTAAATTGTCTTTGACAAAAAATTTTGAAATAAGTAGAAAACTTAATGACTATTAAAATTATTAAATAACAAAAGCAAGCAAGCTGAGTATTAACTTTCAAACGGAAATAAAAGCTAAACATTAAAGTAAGCTATGCAATTTATAATTCTAAAAACAAATTAACAAAGGATAACTAACAAAAAATAAGCCAACAATTAATAATTAGCAATAAAACTAATTAACAAGAAATCACAAAAAAATTATAATTAATGTAAAAAACTAACAGTTAAAAACAATAGAAAACAAGATAACAATTAATAATTAGCAATAAAACTAATTAACAAGAAATAGCAAAAAAAAAAATAATTAATGTAAAAAACTAACAGTTAATAAGAATAGAAAACAAGCTAACAATTAATAACTAGCAAAAGAAATAAAAAACTGTTGCTAACTAATAAAAAATTAGTCGAAAGAAATAATTAATTCCTTAATAAACGTGCTTTTGTAGTACATATTATTTTATTTCACATTCAAAATTATTATTACAAACTACTTAACACAGTGTATTATAGGTAAGTAAACAACTTTTAAACTAATTTTTTTCATTGTGTGCCGTCAAATTTCGAAATCGTTAAAAGTGTGCCGCCGCAAAAAAAAGGTTGAGAATCACTGATCTAGAAAATGAAACATTGGAAATATTTCTGTATTGGTACCTATGCCAAAATAACCACGATGTTTTGGAGACTTCTGGGTCAGAAAAAAAATAAATCTTGGAAGTTGGATCTCTTTGGCGCCTTAGCAATTGTAGTTGGCATGAACATGTATCAATGCGGAAACATTCCCTTAATGTTTTTAAGTGTCACATAAAATGTTTTTCCACCCAATCCTTTAATTGAGGCAGGCATTCAGAATATAAATAGCTAGATTCCGATCAAGCTCAAATTTTTAGAAAAACAAAAGTTTGTTTCTACTTGTTTGACGATGGAATCTGGGAGTTATAGCATGTCCAATCCATTTTGCACTTCAATATATTAAATACAGATGGCAGGACTGCATATCTGATTGAGATTTGCTGTTTTATATTGTAAGTGCCTTGATTGCTTCAACAAGAATGATGAAGATTCAAGTTTATTAACAATGCATCTGATTTTTATCAAATAATTATAGTCTTTTGGTAGTGTATCTATTGTTTTGTGCAATTATTTATTATTTAAGGAGAAAAATTTGGAGTTGTATATTTTGTTGCAAATTTAGTTTCTAGAATAGTGATTTTGTTTCATAAGTTTATTTGTTAAGTTTAAACTATCTTTAAATATTTAGTAGTGTTGCAATCATTATTTTTATATGTTTTTAAGTTAACTTTATCTACACATATGTATATTTGTTATATAAATATACAGAAGAAGGGTGTATTTTATGGTGGCGAGATGAAGCTAGACTTCAAGTTGCTTCAGCACCCATTCAAATTGTGATCAACATTTATAATAGAATGTTATTTTCACTATTTCTGATAAATTCCATTTTGTTTATTAAATTTGCATGGGGACAATTTATACTCCAAAAGCTTCGATGCAAATTGTAATGTAGCATTTATTCATCTATTTTTTCATTCATAGTGAAGGAAATATTTTTTCTTATAGACAAAAATACATGCATTGATCTTATACATATTTATCCGTATTAAAATGATCATATCTTGAGCATTTATTTATTTATAATAAACATAGGTAAAATTTATCTAAATAAATAATTATTATTAAATCATATTAAATGTTAGTTCTTACTCAGGTCTTGATAGTTTTAAAAATGGTCTACCAATAGTCAACTCTGTTAGCTACTTAAGAAAATAACAATCATAATGATTTTTAATATATGTAGAAAATAGATACACGCTGAAGGATTTATTGAAACTTTAACAGCATTGCTACAAGATCAGCTGGCAATCCTGCTACACCAAATGAAAGACTTTCAATCATAAAGAATTGAACATGCATTTTAATCTGCATGTTTAATTTTTCCTTGACTAAAATCCAATCTACACTCCAACTTTTAATTAGACACCAGGCTCAAATCCGCGACACCCAGTTAGTGCTAGTCCTTCTAAAAAAAACAACACTTGCACACTTTTTATATTATTGATTATGTAGGTTATAGTAAAAATGTTAATGATCCGGCACTTTTGAGAATGCCACCTGACTGACAAAAGTGCATATGCACATAAATTTCTAAAAAAAATTCAAATAAGTCAAAATACTTTTCCTAACATGGATAATAAAGTTACATTTTAGTTTCTATTTGTTTGAATCAGTAAATAACTTAATTATATATCTGAAAAAGAATGCCCCCTCATCAAGACGAAAATACTTAATCTGTGAGTAAAAATTATGTTTAAAAATTTCAATTAAGATAATAATAGACCGAACAATTGTAAATTTAAAAAAAAAGAATTCATTATGCCGAAATATGCATAGTTCCAAACCAAATCCTCTGATCGAAATTTATGAAAAGTCTTGTAGAATAAAAAACAATAATTTATGAGTGCAAGCTAGAGAAAGGTAAAGATAGCAATTCCTTAAAATGGAATATAAAAATATATATTAGAGATGCACTGGGTCCTAAACTTTTTCCAGACCTGGTTACCCGGTGAAAGGTAAATTCTTTAACCGGCCAGTTTCGGGTACCCTGCAAAATTTTTATTTGTTATACAACTGATTCTAGATATCTAGTAAAATTTAGATTTATTACCCGCCCGGGTATTGTAACATTTATACAAAACAATATAAAAATTTTATAATTTTCATTGGAACAAATTATTTACAAAGTATAAACAAGAAAAATTAAAAATAAATTTTTTGAAATAAATTTCTCTAAAAGAATTGTTTGGATGCACAATGATTAACATAAAACTTTGCTATGAAATGGAGATGTCTGATAATGTACGATAATGATAATGAACTTATCATATCAATAGAATTTATTAATATAACTTCTGTTAAATGTAGGATATTTTAATAAAGTTACAGTATATTAATTAAAAAATGTTTGCATTTTTAGGATTTCATTTTTAATCATCCAATTACTATAAAAAGGTAATTTACATGCAATGAGATCTACTTCAGTACAATTTCTTAAATTTTTTGTTACATGGTAAGAAATTTTGTCTCATTATCCATTGTTTCATAGAAGAGTCAGATAGCGGTTTTACTGCCCTCAATGTGATGATTCTTTTTCCATAAAGAAATTTTGTTCTCACAAAAGATAAAATAACTTTTACATAAAGTTACAAACAAGGAGCAAATTCACTTTCAAGAAGAACATTTACTTATAAACTAAAACATATTTGTGTTACAAGGGGAAAAAAATGAACATGAAAACCTTTCATGGTTAGCCTGACAATTGGAGGACTTTAGCCATTAACCAGACTGCTAGAAATTGAATTTTATGAGCTGATCAACAATTAAAAAATACTCTGTAGATAAAGTTTAGTTTAAAATTTAATTAGAGTATATATATATATATATACAGTGTGTAAAGAAATTTTCATTAAAAAATTTCTTTGTTTTAACCTATGCTTTTATTTATTAGGTAATTAATCTTTAATGATATTTAATTTACGAATAGTATTAGAATAATAAATGTGTTATTTGTAAGAAAATATTTATGTTTTGTTTGCAACTGTTGCCTGTTATACTTCTATAAAACACTATGCCTACGTACCTAAATATCAAAATTTTTTTATTACATTTATTCATTTTCTGGAAGCAATTTTAGTATGAAAGAATATACATCTATTGTATTTTTTATCAGTTACCTTTGAATTTTATTTATTGTGATTTTATTAACTTTAAATGAATATCAATGTAATTCCCTATGTTCAATTTTGCTTTTATTTAACTATCATGTTAATTGAGTTAAAACAGTTTTCAGCATTAATTTTTCTGAATTTGAACATCTTTCTCTTAAGCAGAAACCTCTCTTCAGCGAACATATTTCTCTGTCCCAAATGTGTCCATTTTACCAAGGTTTTCCTGAAATAAAAATCTGCACAAAAGTAAAGTATGTTGAGCCTAAAACCAATTATCTCAGCTCGATTATTAAGAAACTTATGTAATACCTGAATTTTCAAAAGAACTATTTTTAGGATTTTAAGTTTACTATGATTTTCAATTTAATAGTGTTGAATGAAATGAGTGTTACCTGACACTAGATACGCAGTAAAATTGTTTTGGGACTAAAAACCAGGTAGTGAAATTTTTACTGGTAATAACTGGGTAATGAAAATCTGGTTGGGTACCCGATACCTTTCTAATACATACGCATACACAGGGTGTTAGGAATAACTTGGGAAAAGTTTAATTAAGCCCAAATAACTATTCTTATTGCAACAAATAAACTCGTTTTGGAAAAAAATGGGCTTCCTTGATTACGAAAGGATTTGGGCACCTTAAATAGATTTTCCAATAGTTTATGTGATATTTTAATTAGGATTAAATTTATGAATCCTGAAATTGGATTCATATTTATCTCCTGAATCAAATGCATAAAATGGAATTGAATTTTGGCA